TTTAGGTTATTAATTATGGTACATTTATAGTCTAGAGATATATAGATAAATGATGATATAAGAAACATGAACAACTTCACAAATTATTATCTTTTCTTATTGAATTAATGGCAAATATTTTTCTATTCAAGTATCATCAATTGTAACAAGTACAAAAGAATTTCATTAAAACTTCACTTTCTCCCTTTCTTACCCAGGCTAGTTTCCATAAACAACTCTTGATTTGACTGGATAATAGTTAATTAGGAATTCTATTAACTTTAATTTCAGTGAGTGATTTTTTTAAAGTTAAATTTCATTAAAAATTGGTGTCAATGATATATAATTAGTGAGCTTTATAAGCTGATATCCTTGTCAGTGTTCCTGTACATTTAATATTTGCACTTAAGAGTAGTTATGATCATAATTAGTTTTTGTGTAAATTTTTCTAAGGTTTAGGTTTTACTAAAAATATTTGAAACTTCTTGGAGGAACAGCATATTGGTGAATATAATTTACTTCCTCAAAGCCCAAGGCTAAAAATAATAGGAAAGAAACCAATCATGTAAAACTTCAATGAACAGTGCAACATTTCTCAACCTGCAAATGAAATGAACACTTACTCGATTTCAACAGAGTTGTATTTTAAAAGATTTTTGCCTCAAGTGTAAATGCTTTAATTCTTGCCTGGGTAAATGCGACACTTTTTTACAAGGTAGTGGTAAATTAAAATTAACTTGAACCGTCTGACTCTTTTGCATAGAGAAAAGAGTGAATACAGATGAATAATAATAAATAAAAATCACTCACATGTGCAGTTTACTTAGCCACAAAGTATTGGCTTTTAAGAAGGCTGGAGATTCAACAAGCAGATCTGTAACACATCATAAAATAGTGCCCTCAAAAAATAGACTAAATTAGAGTTTAGATTGTTTCAGCAATGCATTGAAAAATAATAAATATGGCACAGATATCTGGGATATGACACTAGTAGATGGACTGCACCAGTCTGCAATAATCAGAAATGAATTGCTGTGTTTGAATGGTTGAAATTTATAAAGTTGGATGGGTAAGAGATCCTTGTAGCCAGAGGCTTCAGAAGGACAGACTACTTGCCCAAGTACCCAGAAGGAAACATTTTGTTTCAATTGCTTACTTGCATGGGGAATAAGGCCCTTACTTGCATGGGGAATATGAAGAACACAGTAATATGATAGAATTGAGCACATAGATATCGGAGGGAAGGAGAATATGCAATGTGAAATAATCCCTGATGAAGTTAAACAAGTCAATTATGATAGTATAATTTCATTAAGTATAAACAATAAAAATTGTTCTTTAATCTCAAAGGAACTTGGCTTTGTCTAAATAAAATTTTTAAAAAACCCAGAAATTCAAGTTAATTTAAGTAGATAATAGTTGCTCTAATTATTACTTACCCTAAATAAATTCAAGATTTTTCTTTTATAATTCTTGGCAGAAATAAGACTTGGTTATTCAACTGAACAGCATCAAGAAGAGAATTTGAAATTATTTAGCATATTAATAATATTTTGTTCTTTTTTTCCTCCATCTTAATTCTGCTTGACTAAAGTTCCTTTTTTAATTTTTAAAAATTTGTTCTAATTAGTTATAAACGACAGTAGAATGCATTTTGACATATCATATATAAATGGAGTATAGCTTCTCATTCTTCTGGTTGTACATGTTGTACAATCACACTGGTCATGCAATCACCTATGTACACAGGATAATTATGTACAATTTGTTCTACTATTCTTCCTACCCTCATACCCACTCCCCTCCCTTATTTCTGCATCTACAAGTTATTCAAGTCCAGAGGGCATCATGGTATGAATGTGAATGGTGTCTCTGATTTTGCTGTATAATAACGCACACATTTTGCCATTGGTAAAGTTTGATATTGATTCATTGTTGAATTTGGTAGTCCTTATGTAACATTGGAAGATCTCAGTTGATGGTCAGCCAACTCCATCACTCTGGGCTTGAGGTGAGGCAGAACATTGTAGCTGAAGGGTGTGGAGGAGGAAAGCTGCTAAACCCATGGCAGCCCGGAAGCAGAGTGAGGAGCCAGGGACAAAATATAATTCCCAAGGGCATGTCCCCAATGACCTAATTCCTACAGTCATACCCCAACTGCTGTTCACACAATAGTCCATTCAAATTATTAAACCAAATGCATTAATCCTTGATGAGGTTACAGCTCTCATAATATAATCATTGCACTTTTGAATATTCCTATATTACCTAAAACTTGACCTATCTATCTCCAAATCATAAGTCATTATTCATCATTAGCTCTTCAATAAGTTTACAGAATACAATTAGTTACAAGCAATAGCATTCCTTTAACCTCAGAGTATATGATTTAAGTGCTGTGCTTTTATAAAATTAAAATTATAAATCAAGAGGAAATGTACAATTTACATGCAGGCCTTGATTTTTTATTGCTGATAAAATTCAGAAACAAAAACTATGAATCTTTTTTGAAAGGCTAAATAGGAAGTAAAAAAAAAAAATGTGACTGTCATAAAATTGAGCCACTTATCCAAAACAGGTCCCCCCTTATCATCACAGGGATTTAAGAGTAACTTACTTTCTGAAGGTCTTTTAGACAAAATACAGACTAAAGTTCCCAATTTATCTTTTTTTCTCCACATTTCAACATATAGAGTGTATCATAGAATTGATATGTTTTAAAACAACTATTAGACAGGTAGCAATAGTAATGGAGTTACTTGTCATGTGAACTTAGTCATCAGTTGTAAATGTGACTGTTACTTCATTTGAGTTAGGTACAGTGTTGATACATGTGTGGTTCTGATACTACACACAAAGCAATACATCCCTAGGCAAGAGACAGGCATAACTTTTGAACAGATAACATTTTAAATAGAATGCATGTGTTGTGCAGTATTATGATAAAATTAAGATTAGGTAAACTATAATATTAAGCATTTAATGAATGATAAACACTAATTTCTGAAAGCTCTGAAAGTTAATCAATACATGTTTCACAATAGTTACCACATTTTCTCCATGGGAAGAACTTTAGAAACAAACACACATACATACACACACACACACACACACACACACACACACACACACACTCTCTCTCTCTCTCTCTCTCTCTCTCTCTCTCTCTCACACACTCTCTATTTCACACACTCTATACTTTAGATAGACAAGTCATTTATGGTTACCAATTATTTTCATAACTAACATATCAACTTGTCAGACACCTCCTGCTGACTTTGAATTGAGGCCACCTATTTTTTAGGGACATGATTAAACTTTAGCAAAAATGAAACTTCATTTGTCAAGCAGTAAAGCATCAGCATCAAAACTTGCAGAACAGGTGCCTGGTATCTGCAACTTGGTGTAAAATCTAGACAAAAGCATTCTAGAGCATTGTTAGAAATATGTAGCCTTACAATCACTTTGATGACACAGAAGATAGTTCTTGGTGGAAATATGGGTATCAATAGTTGTGAATTGAAAGCATTTCAGAAAAGTTTGGCTCTGTCAAACTGCAGAAATATCTTCGTGAAATCTCCATATTTTACTTTTTGTTCCTTTATATTACATTCAAAAGATTAAATTATAAAAGTCTATGCTTAAATGAATAGATCTCCAATAAACATAAAAATTATTCAATAAAGCAATATGTCATACTTTATTGGTAGTGTTTTCTCTCAGTAAAACATAAACTAATAACAATTCTCATAATAGCATTTTAAATTAGGTAAAATTATAGTCTTGAGCCTTTAATAAACAACACACACATAAAATTCTCTGAAAGCTCTAAATCAATAAATGTTAAAAATAACCTCTATACATTTTATTTTCTCCTTGGAAAGAACCTTGAAAAAATAAAAATATGTCCATACATAAATAATTAAGGGTTTTAAATAAGTTATTTCTAGCTTACCAATTATTTTTATATTGACGTTAATATATAAATAAAACTGGCACAGACTAGTTCTTATTCCAATTTAATTTAGAACACAAAACTCTGACACATCATGTCTGTAATTATTTATTAGAATTTGATATGAAGATATTTCACTTATGTGCTTAAAACAAAATAGGAATATATAGACTGGGATTCTAGCCAATTTTAGTTATTTGAAGCTATTTATCATTTGTGTACTATCACAGTTTTTTTTTTTAATACTTTTGCCTTGCTCCTTTTGTCCACCTTTTGGCCAATTATTGCTTCTCAGCATTGCCACTAATATGTGGTCAGAAAATAAAAATGGAAAGTAAAATCAGTCCACCTGGTACTTTAAAAATTTTGTTAAAGTGAGTGTTAGGAGAAGATGAATGTAATGTCCATGGTGAAACTGCATAATTGTCAGTGAACCTCAATTATTCTTACCACTTTCCCCACAGATAACTGATTTTATTTATGTATGTATACATGTGTGTGAGCATGCATGTGTTTTCCTGCAGAATATAACTTCAGATAAAAGGTATAAGTTTTAGCAATACATGTTCAAGTATAAAAGGATAAAATAATATTTAGTTTTGTTTCATTTTGATAAGATCAATGAGACTCAATTCGTTATTATCAGAACAATTTGTATCTAGTCATTTATCAATTAAAATAATCTCAAATATTAAGCATTGATTTAATCTGAATTTGTCAGCTATGAATTTGTTTTTGGAAAAGTATTCCTACAGTATTTGGAAGACCCTGTAAGATGTCATTTTTATTAGTTTATAAAAATAAGACTATATTTGGGGAGAGAATTGCCAATAACACTTAGACTTTATTTGAACCAAAGTCCAAAAGAAGATGAATAAGTTCTAAACACACTAGTATTTAAAATTTCCTTTAAAACTAGTATTCATGATGTCAACAAAAGTGCTCCACATATACATCCTTATAAAAAGAAAATTACAATTAAAAAATCTCAAATTTATTTCTTTTCTGAATTCAGTTTTGAAATATTCAATTAAAAATGGTTTATCTGTATTTTTGTGTTAAAATACTATAGCAAATAATACAATTTTCACTAATTTGCTTTACTAAATCCTCCCCAAAATATCTACAGACAATGCCTGTATTTTTAATCATGTTCATAGAAGGGCAAAGTATACAATATTTATGGTATCTCTAAATCAGACTGCTTTTTATTTATACTTATTTCTAGAAAAATTTGTTCCCTATATGCTATCATATCTTCTACATCTTTGTAGGCAAGCATTTCTTCAATTGAAAACAACTTATAGCTATTCAGGCTGAATGGTGAATTGTTCTTTATAGCATCTAACATTTTTAGCGATGTTATGACTGATTCACTCAAAGAACAACAAACTGGGAAAATTCGAGCAGTCCACAAACTCAGATGTGTCTTATTTCCCGAGAACAATTCTTCTGTAATTTTAAGATTCCAAATATCTAAGCATGATAGAAAAGAGACTCCAAAGAACTGAAGTAACTTTACATCTAACAATGTTTTAACATTATTTTTCAAGTTGTCTTGCACTCCGAATGCCATGGTTGAATATGCTAGGTGTCCATTTACCTTCAAGCTTAAGGAACACACAAAAGAGTATGCAGGCACCACAGCTTTTGTTATGATATAAGAATTGCTAATAAAACAGTTTTCCCCAACAAATACATCAGGCCCCAATCTGGAATACTCTACAATTGAGCCAGGTGCCACAGAACATCTTAAATCCAATATACTTTGAATGATACAGGATGCTTTACATGAGCATTCTGGAATATCTGGAAGGATGCTAAAAGCTATGGACTGGAAGCCAAGCTCTGACTTTAAACTGCTCTCTGAAGTAAAATGAAACAAATATTCTTCAGTCGTTCCAATGTGATAAAATTTAGAGTTATTAAGAACAACAACATTTAGTGATGTTCCTTTAAGAAGATGAAATATTCTCTGCCTCATATGTACCAATTCTGATTCTTCTTTAGTGACATTTGATGTGTTTTTGGTGTATTCTATAGTTGCTCCAGGTCCTAAAGCCTGCAGAAAGTCACCATAGGCATCTATTTCACAGTTCAGTGTACCTATTTCTTCATAAAAAGCAAGTAACTTTTTTGCTGATTTATGATCCATATAAAATACACTATCTGTATAGACATACTCACTGTCTAATTGGAGATAGGCAGTGTCACCCCTAGCAAACTCCTGTTGACAAAAATTCCCAGGTCTACACACAGCATTAAATTGATGCATCTCTTCTATGCTGGGCTTATGAAGAAAACGATGGCAACATCTGTATTCAAGGTCCCTATGTTTTAAAGAATTTAAAGGATCTAAGACGAATACTCCATGTGTTGTACCTACCTTCACACTAGAAGGATGAGCTAAAGCAGTAAAGCCAGGTTTATCAAACTTAATATACTCAAATTCTCCAATACTATAAAGTTCAATATCATCTGCACAGGTAACAAGAATTCCAGGATTCATATATGGGGGAAAGTCAATGTACATGGCTAGTTTTAATTCCAACATCTGGTAAATGGGATTACCAAGTGGTAAGGCAGTAAAAATTTTCCCCAGAGCACTTGCACTTGGAAGGCGTTGACTGTAGCCACCTATAAAATTTAAAAAGAATAAACATTTAAAAATGTACTACTATTTATAACATTTTCAAAACCCAGGGACATCCATTATAACTCAAATACCTCTAAATATATTTAATATATTCTATGTGTTACTATAATTCTAGAAAGGATAATGAAATCCAGATTAAAAATGAAACAGCAATTCTCCTGTAGCCATTTGATATAATACAATTTTAAAGATTTTAGTTTAGTACAGAAGTCTAATATATTATAGAGCCTGTAAATTGTTTTGAACAACAAGTAAAAAGGACTGTGGGCTAAAACTTGATGTTGTATCTGCATTTAAACAATAAATTTCAATTGCTCTTAAATTCACACATTAAAATTTTATTTCATAGAAAAAATTACAAAAATAAAAATGTAAAAATTCCAAAATATAATTTTCTATTAAACTCTTATTTTCAGGTGCATCATCTTCCTTCAAATTATATACACTTAAAACATTTAAAAATTTATACTTACTTTTCATTTAAACAGGCTTTTTCTTTATAAGTTGAGCATCATAACTTCTTAATTCATTGAAAAGTGTTCTCTTAAGTACTTTAAATATTGTATATCATTTTTATGCAAATAATTACAGTGAGAGGTAGCTTACCTTAGTAGAAAGAGTGATAAAAATTGAGTTCAAACCTAGTTCACCACTTTTAAGCTTTTTATCTTTGGACTTACTCCAAATTAGCACAAGTGAAATAACACTTGCCTTATCATGTTTTGTGAGATCAATAATACAGATAAAGCACTTGGCACTTAGTACACTGTTCAACAAATGACAGCTAATTATAACTTTCTATTTTTCCTTTTTCTAAGACTAGACAATAGTAAAATTTAGCACTAATGAATTATCTACACCTGTCCCTCAGCATTCACAGAGACTGGATCAAGACCCAGGAGGATATCAACATCCAATGACACAGTATTTGCATGCAGTATTCTCTTGTGTACTTTAAATCATCTCTAGTAAATTATAATATAAAGTAATGTTATTAAAATAATGTATTAAATAGTTGCTATATTGTATTGTTTAGAGAATGATAAGAAAAATGTGGGCAAATGTTTAGTACAGCCTCAATTATTCTTTCTCAAATATTTTCTATTCATGGTTGGTTGAGTTTACAGATGTGGAACCTATGGATACAGAGGGCCCACTATATTTCTAACTATGTATTATTTTTTGGTGTCTAATTAAAATTTCCACTAAATTGGCAAGAGTTATAGTTACTTTTCTAGACTAAAACTATAAATTGAATTGTTTTACATTTAATTAGTCTAGAAACCAGAACTTGGTTGTACATTGTTCATATCATCTTTACAAAGAATCATGATCCTATATGTGAATCATAAGAAATGAAAAAAAGCCTTAGAGACTATGTAGATGAATGCTTTTAAAATATATATGTCCCTGGACCAGTGACAATCCATGACAAAGTTTTCATTAGTCCTCTAGCATATAATAAAAAATAACAGAGGTTTTCATGTAACCATAATTTTCACACAATAAAGTGTATTCAAACTATTCTTTGTATAAATGCAAAAACAAAACAAAAAAAAAACCCACAAAAAACAAAAACAAAAAACCCCCCAAAAACTACCCTTTATTCTGAAATTATGTTCTTTCAATTTTCTGTTTTAAAATTTCCTTATCTCTGTGTGTTTCCCCCTTGGTATACATACTTGAGGACTCCACGTCTTGTCACTTTTTCTTTATGTTTTTAAAACTCTAAGGATTACAGCCTTTAGTTAACAATAATCAGACAAAAGTGCTAGACTGAAAGTTTTAGCAGAAGTCTAGTAATAATAGTGCTAAAATGGCCTGTTCCCCACAGCAAGAATCTCCTCCAAAGAACTCTTGAGAAATGATCATATTTCGATGAGTTCCATTTAAGGAAGAATAATTTTCTACATGCATATGAAAGACAAAACAATATCCATGAAAAGATGATGATTTATGAGATGAATAACTTTTACAATAAACTTTGTGAAAATCATTGTACACTTATTACCTAAAATAGCAAGTATAATTTTTTTTTCAAAGTAAAATAATTTCAAAGAATAAATAAGAGTAAAGGGAGAAACAATCCCCAAGGTAATAGAGGTAGAAAAATTCAAAAGAAAATAAAATTAATAAAGTTATAACTTTACCAGAGTGAATTAACAGGATAGTAAAAGAATTCCATTTATCTCCATATAGCTTTTCCAAACATCGAAGAGCACAAAGCGTCGATCCTCCATTTCCTTTAAAATAAATAAAAAGGAAGACTTGTTTAATAGAAACCTACTAAAGTCAAGGTTATAATTTTAAGGATATGCTTATTTTAAAGATAAGGATAAGAATATGGCTTTGGCTAAAATTGACAGCAAAAGTACTGGTAAAAAATAAAATAAATACATGCCATAGCAAATAAAACAAATGAATATCAGTAAAGAAACCTAGAAAGCAGCCCTCAGAAACAAAAGATTTGCTAATATTCTCCTTAAAAGTAGTAATTAAAAAAATGCTAAATTACACAATGTTTAACACAGGAAGAGTGTGACATATAAACACATGGAGTTACAAATCATAAAATTTATTCTATTGATTTGTATTTTAATAATCCTATGTGACATAATGAAATTCACAAAAATCTAAAAAGATTTTTAGGACTAAAAACCATCCCAAACATAATAACCACACTAGTTATAACTACCAACTAGGCAAGATCTGTACCTTAGATTCTTATCTATACAATAGAATAATACAAGTACTGACCTAATTGTTGATGGAATTAAGACAACACTGGCTAATAAGAACAAAGCTAGAATTATACACATACATGCTGGTGGCCAGGGACTTCAGCTTTAAGTATCATATGGAAAACAGCCTTCAGAAAAACAGCATTTAATTTTATTTGCAAAGAAAGAAGGAAGGTCAAAGAACAAAGCTGACTTAAACTGGAATTTTCAAGTAAATATTCTATGATACTTAAACCACTAGACTTGTGTTCTTTACATTCTGTGGAGTGTTCTAAAGTGACCATCTATATATGATGAATGTATGTTGTGCATTGTATTTTGTGTTCGGCATTGTGTTCCCAAGTGGCCATCTATATATGATGTATGTATGTATCTATTTAATTTTTTTTCTGATTTGCTTTCTTTATGTAAATTTCTGAAGAACAGTGGGTTTGGGAGGCACCGTAAAAAGTCTATTGATAATGTCCAAAGGAATACTTACTAAATTTCATTAAAACTAATAAAATTCTCTTTCAAATACATTCTGGAAATTTTCCACTATAAGTCACAATGGATTAAGAACAGTTGCTATGCCTTTTATCTTTCTTTAGAAAGGTCAATTTACATTCAAAATTTAAAGTTTGTAAAGGCTATAGGTGGAGCTTATGAACTATAAACCCTGAAAAGCTTTTCTTCAATTATTATTCTGCCAAGAATCTTGTATTATAAACCTGTTCATAAAATGCGTACCAATTTTGGCTCCAGCAGGATCAACAAAAACATGATATTGAACTCCAAGGGGTAATTCCTTTCTTTTCAGCTTTTTTGACAGCTGTTGCCTATAAGCAAGTTCCTGCTTTTCATCAGCTGCTGTTATTGCAACTACGTCCCAGAATTCTCCAGCTGCCACAGGTTTGCCTATTTGGGAAAAGCAAGAAAATGATAACAAATATTATCAGAATTCTCTAGCTGTTACAAGTTTGCCTCTTAAGGGAAAAGAAAACTTCCATAATTCTCTTCAAAAATGCATCTTCTGCATTTGAAAATTAGGGAATAATTAGTGTCCTGTTTTCATGATTAAAATAGTTATAATGAGGACTGCTCAATTTTTTTCCCCTTTCAGGGTTTACAGTTTATTTTTTAAGAAATTCTAAAAGATTTAATGTTTCTTGATTAAGTGAGGTTCTTTTTATTTTCCAAAGACTATTATTTCAATTCTTAAATAAGAGTAATACACAAAGAATCAAATAATTGAGTATCCTGCTTTAAAAATCAGTTCTCATCTATCAGAGCCACTTAGGGCTTGTTGGTTAAGAAACATTCAATCCAAGGATCTATTTCTTCAATGTTGCTGTTTATTACTTCATTTTTTTATTCTGTTAATGAGAGTCATGGAAGTTTACATAGGCTATTGGACTATGACACCAGGTACTGCATAACATAAAAGGTCCCAATTTTCTGATGAACTCCTTAAAATACAGGCTGCACTTTTGGTAAACAGTTTGAGTCACTTCTTTATCAATAAAAAGGGTTTTTATTAGCTAACAAACAAGACCTGTAAGCTAGGGTTTAATAGCGTATAATATTTTACTGTTATCCAAATATTAGTAGTTTTTAGGCAATCATTGGAAATAAAACACCTTTATTAGATAATTGTACAAGGAATGATAAGTGGCATAAGTAGTTTTTAAATACTGAACCGAACTTCCACTTAAAAACTTAAGTCATAATCCCTCCATGTTCTATTGCTGCCCTTCTCAGTAAGCATTTGCATTAGAGAACGAATAGGTGAGGGATAGCCGGTAGGGAGTAAGGGCAAAATCAAATTCACTTATAAGGATCAAAACAGCGTGCTCCAGATATTTTCTAATGAACTAAACAATGCATAACTTCGATTTAGAGCTTCAGTAGTCAGATTAAATATTTTCTCCTTCCTCCTCCTTTATTTTGATGTCTACACCACCAGGAATAAAGTTTTAAAAAGGCACTAAGCATAACGTAAAGAGAGGACGGTGACAAACACTCAAAAGAAGTATTTGCCATTCCTGGGTCAGCAACTTAAAAGACTGCAGGTGAGAGGCAGAAAGGAAGTGACAATCCTCGGAAGACACCCTCCCTCTTCATTGCCCAGGAGATCTCAGTTCCTCCTTTGGTACCTCTCAGGTTTGAAAATCTCCGCAATTTTCGTTGGGTGGCTTCTCTCAGAGTTACGTCAAGAGGGACCCTAGCGCTGGCCATGGCCCCACCTTTCCAGAGCCCGCTCAGCACAGCACGCATGCGCGGTGGGACGCCACGCATTCCCTACCCCGGTTACCGCTGCCCCGCCCCCTCCGTGCGTCCCTCACGTAAGTACGCCGGGAGTGCTTTCGTCTCCACCCGGAAGGCGTTGATGGGCTGAGCTGGATCTTTGCCGGTTTCCTTAGCAACGGTCTCTGTAGCAGATGGCCGGCTAGCAATTTGTTTTACTGTGCAGGATCTGGGCCACTTTTCCCCAGCTCATAAGTTCTTACGGCCCAGTTGACCTGGTGAGTAGTTCAGGTTAGATGACACAGTTGTTGGAACCAACCCGCTAAAGAGAAAACGAAGTGCAACCTAGATTCCCACACTTTCGCCCCTGTGATTAGTCCTACCTGGAGGTTTGTTTCAGTCAGAAGCAGTTCCCTAACATCTTGTCAGATAAATTCAAGCCCCGAGTCATCTGGAGCCACTCCGGGGCGATACAATAGCTGAGTAAAGTCAGTATTCTCTTCAGGAACTGTAGGTTTGTGACTTCTTTGCGTTTGCAGCTCCTAAAAGAGTGAGCCACACACACCACCGCTGTTTTTTGAGTTGGCTTCCTGGGTACTCATGCCTGTCTCCCAGATGTGGTCTTTGAAGTTGTATAAAATTCAGGTCTCTGATATTTGTTATTTATTTCTTTATTTTGTGCTTCGGTGTTCTTTTGAATGTGTAAATTAATTTAGAACATTTGGTAACATTACTGGGGAAAAGTCAGCCTTAGGTGTATTTTTGTTGATTATATATTTCTTTTGTGAAACACCGAGTTTATGGTGAGCTCTACAGATTAAGCTCTTCATCTTTATACATAAGAAAACTGAATTAGGGAATAATGACTTAGTCAAGGTATGAAAATTAGTAAATAACAGGATTTGAGAACTGTATTTCAATCCCAAACCCAGAATTTGTGGCACTCCACCGTATGTTTTGATTTATTTGAGAAGCCTCTCTACTAAAGTCTTCATTAGGAGCTTAGGCAACCAAGGCCCTTGAAACTTACATAGATTGTAAGGTAACTTAGTTTTTCTTCTAGAGGTGGTGGACCTTGATATATAATTCTGTACTTAATAGGGTAAAAGGGCATATTACTGTTTTGTTGTTTCTGTTTTGTTTTGTGATGCTGGAGATTGAACGCAGAGCCTTGCTTATATTAAGCAAGCGCACTAACATTGAGCTACAATCCCAGTCGCTCTTTGAGTTTTGTCTTTTACAACTTTTCTTTTTGTTTATAAAAACTACATTCTTTTTGAAGGACATTTAGAAAATACAGATTGACTGAATTGAGAATAGGCAATACAGAAAGTAGCAAGAGATAGGTCAAAAAGAGAAAGGCTATAGAAAGGTTTTTTACTCCTGAGTAAAACTATTCCAGAGTTTTTATGTGATTTGCCTTATGTTTAAAATGATCACTCAGAACTGTGAAAATAGATTATAGTGGGGGATCAATAAAGATAGAAGCAGGAAGATTTGTTTGGAGGTAACTGGAATAATGCATAAAAGTGATAGTTAGCCAAGATGGTAAAAGTGACAATGGTGAGAAATTGGTCAGATTCTGGATAAATTTTGAAGGCTAAACCAATAAATTTATTGATAGAATGGGTGTGGAGTATTAGAGAGTGAAGTAAAAAATGACTGCATGAGGATGGAGTGGTCATCAATTGAGATGGAGAAAGTTAAGGATGGAGAAGCTTGGTTGGGTAGAGAACATAATTTGATTTTGGTCATTATGAAATAAACATGTATGCATGTGTGGTAGAAAATTGTTTATGTCTGTGTGCACCATACATGTGAGCGTGGAGTTTAGGAGAGAGGTTTGCGCTGGAGTTACAGTTTATGAGTTGTCAACATATAGATGGAATTAATTTTCAACTATGATACTAAATTGAGCTCCTAAGGAAATTAATAGGTCCTACATATTCAGGTGCTGTACATTTTAATAAGGTGAAGTGAACAATGAAAGAGTAACCAAAAAAAAAAATTCAGAGTGTAAAGAACTATAATGATAATACTTAGAGTATAAATTGAGCTTTTCTTGAATCTATGAAGGGTGCCATAGAAATGGATATTATTTATTCCAAATATGACTACATTGTTCACATAAAATTTGCTGGAAGTGAATAGGCCACATTATCAGCTATGGTTTTTCTGCTCCTGTTTTTCTTATTTTTATCACATTTTCATTAAATTTTAAGTAATTTTTTAAAAAAATTCAGTATACTGAGTGGGAGTAAATGACTTGGCTATAATTATAGTAAGTAAAAAGTTTTAAGTCCAAATTCGATATAATCACATAGTGTGATATAATTGTTTAAGCAGTTAAACTATCAGAGCATTATTATTTTACTTGAGCATTTACCACAAAAAATGAACCCAGTATTTGCCAGAGTGTTATTTTACCAGAGTACAATATACCAATCCAGCTAAGTAGTAAGCTTATTAATTATGCCAAATCAAACACTGGAAACAATCTTGGTCTTAGATTCCATATTTTAATAAAGACATTGAGCAAATTAGAGTATAATCAATTGAAAAATAATGTTCTGTGAAGGCATTTGTGCCTCTCTTGGAGGAAATTATCTGAAGAGTTGCCATAGAGAGTAAGATACATAAAAAAACCCCCACAGCTTTCTTAAGTTATGATTTGTGCCATTAATTTAATCTGATTTAAGTGAACAATTTAATATTTTTTATTTATAGCTAATTCTAGTTAGATTGTTTAAAATTACTTTGGGCATAAATATGACTGTTGAATGGGAGTTTCAGAGAAGCACATTTTAATCCCCCTTTCCTATTCATATGAAGAAGTTGAAACCAAATGAAGAGGGTCATGGCTCCTGAGCCATGGAGTTCATGGTGCATGATATAGTCAGGCCATGGTGCAGCTCTGCTTGCTACCAGTACTTTTACTTATCTAACTATTGCTTCCTTCTACTTTTCATGACACACAGCAACAGCAACTCTTTTTATAGTTATTTTTACTTGAATTTGTTTACTCAGCTATCCTTTTTGAACTTTATTTATTAAATATTTTTCCCCAATGAACCCTCTTGAAGGAACTCTCATTCCCTTTTACCTTGTGAAGAGGAGAAAGAAAAATTCTTTCAGAGAAGAATTCTCCACCTTCCTCCTGCTTCCAAACTTCTATTTTTACTTTCTTCCTTAGTTTTTTTGTAGACTTCAAATGAAATGTCCAGATAGTATCCAGATATTATAGTGTGCAGATATTAACATGAGGTTTGGGGTTTCTTTTTTGTTTGTTTTTTGATGAGGAGATAGAATTAAACTAGTAAAGAAACAGATTTCAATTAGTTTAGTACAATGTTTATTGCTTTTAATAGAAACATACTAGTGGTCCAACTTTAGGAGATAAAAATATGTTTTATGAATGCTAATCAACTACTTTTGCTTTTGTAGTCTTGCAAGAATGGAATAAAAACAAAATCTTCAGAGATAATAAAGTGGTTTTGTTATAAGTCTGTAGATTTTGGAGTGATTTGTTACACTGCATAAATAACTGAAAAGTACGTGTTTTTAAAAATTTTTGCAAGAGGTTGAATATTGTTTGTGAATTCAAAATAAAGAATTTAAGGAATTAACATAGATTTCTACCTAAATCAGAGTTTATTCTTTGTACTTAGTAGTCTCTCACACATTCTCACCTGAAAGTTTTCTTTTTCTCTGAGGGAAAGAAAAAACAGCCAGATATATCTATGTATACTAATAGTATTGAAGTCTGACTTAGAACTTTATGTCTTATATTAAAATTTTTACATGTTAGCTAAACAGAACAAGTTTCCTGTTCTCAGAGTACATATAATTTAATGGGAAAGAGGACATTTAAATATCTTAAATTGGAGATGTGGGAATGGAACAGAGATTTATATCATATAAAAGTAAATCTTCATCATATAAAAGACAATGATTTTGCACTAAAACATAATAAAAATTAAAATGGCTGCATAATGACAAAAACGGGCAAAAATTTTATTCTGACCTTAAGAGATCTTACTGACAACAGTAACTTGCCCTATAGACTTCTGAGAGGAACTGAATCCATCATAGGGAGGGAACTATTTGCCAGAATCTAACACTGCCTTGCAAGGTTTGAGCAACACCAGCTTGGCCAGTTTACTTTTGACCGGACATTCAGTAGACTTAGAAAATTTAAACATTGCCCTTATTTGCCTCATTTTCCAAACGCTGGACCTGAGAAAAGCTGAAGTCCATTTTCCTTCAATAAAATACTGAGCCTATGATCCCAATTAACAAATTTTTCCATACCAGGCTAAAACTGTCTTCTCTTTTATCTTAATCTTTTTTATGATTTCTCAGTTTGTAAGAGGATTGCACCAAGGCAGAGAGGTGTGACATCCTGTAATGACAGAGTTCAACTATTTCAATAGCTAAGATTCAGTGTTGTTAATTGTTTAGAATTTTAACAATTGGAAAAATAGATAAAAACTAATATTTAAATAGTGCTTATTTTTGTTTACCATGTAGATAATTCAGTATTTTCTCCAGTGTATTATTTTAAAACTTTTTTTAAGAATTAAGAAAATTAGTTTTCTTTTCATAAAAAAACCTTTTAAGCTGTGAACCTGAGTCTGCTTAATCATACTAGTATTTAGTTCTTACTTTTTTTTGATTATAATAGAAATATTTTTGATTAAAGCTAAAAGTAGACAGTTATACAAAATGGAAAGAAAGGGCACTGAATTAAGGAATATGCTGATTATCTCAAATTTAGATTGAATAGCCCCTTAATCACACTGGTTTTTAATTCTTACAGATTTTATTTTTTCTTACAGTAGACATCTTTTTGATGAAAGGTTAAAAAAAAGTTGTATGAATGAAAATAAAGGAATTGTATTACATAATATAAAAATTACCTGGAATTCAGATTTAACTCAATAATTCCTTCTTTGTCAGACAATATGTTTTATTGGCAAGAAGTTTTCAAGTGAGTGAAGAGTGCTTATCAAATTAGTTCCCTTACCATACATTCATTCTAATGTAGAAAATGTGAACATATTTAACATTTTGGTGGGGAGGGTACAACATTTTGAGGAGTATTACAATTGTATCAGTAAACTTCCAAAAACTAGTGAGTTTATTGATCTAATAGATACATTTGAATGCTTCACATAATTGCAGGAACCTCTCATTTCATAAAATTATCTAGAATGTCTGAGATCAGTATAGAAAACAGAAAAGAATTCAGCTTTTGAATAATGCTAGTAGTAGATCATTGACATATTCAGATGACATACAGACAGCATTCATTCAGAAAACTTAGTGAAGTGAATCAATGAAAATTGTATTAACATAATTGCTGTAGTATAATATTAATAAAACAAGATACAGATAAACCATTTTTGATAGAAGACAACTTAAAATAAAAAATTTTATTGTAAGTAATGAGCCTACAGACATTAATAACTATCCTTAGTTGATATCACTGTTTAGAATGTCTGGAAATAAATGTCAGGGTAAATATTATACCTTGTAGAAATAAGCATCAAAATAGAGTATTAGAGATGTAATGATCTGTGTGAGAAATAAACATTAACTATATAATTTTGTGTATGTGTATATATTGTTGGGATGCAGTAATGAAAAGTATAAAATCACTTTCATCCTTATGGGAAGAAATACGATCTCTAATACTTCATGGTAGATGGGTGTTAATTGTCCAAAAGTTTTTTAAATGAATTTTGGAGGTGAAATATAAAAGAACAATTAAGAAAATGAAAAGGCAAAATATAGTCTGGGAAAAATTTTTGCAAAACACATGTTTGATAAGGGGCTGGCTTCCTAAATAATGCAAGAAATTTAAACTCAAGTATAAAAAAATCAATACAGTCAAAAAATGGACAAAAGATATTGATATCTCACAGAAAATGCAGATAGCAAATAAGCATATAGAAAGATGTTCAAGATCATATGTCCATAGTAATTGCAAATTATAACAGTGAGATACCAGTATACCTATTAGAATGAACAGAATACAAAATACACCAAATATTAGTGAGTATATGGGGCAATTAATTCCTCTCATTCCTTGCATAGGGGGATGCAAACTAGGGCAATGACTTTGAGAAACAGAGATATTTTCTCATAAAATAAAACATACTATATGATCTAATATGTAAACTGATATTTACCCAAATGATTTGAAAACTAATGTTCACACAAAAACCTAAACACAAATGCTTATAGAAACTTATTAATCATTATTCAAACTTGGAACCCAACAAAGTCTTTTCAGTAGATAAATGGATTAATAAACTATTATACATTCAGTGCTTTAAGAATGAACATTTAGAAAAAAAAGATATTTAGGAAACTTAAATGCACATTACTAAGTGAAAGAGGCCCTACTGTATATTCATATGACATTCTGGAAAGTCAGAACTATGGAGACATTAAAAAGATCAGTGGTTGTAAGGGGCTTGAGAGGAGGGAAGGAGGTGAAGTCCAGGGGACTTCTTGGGTATGAAATAATAACGATTCTACATGATACAATAATGATGGACACATGTTCTTATACATTTGTTGATACCCATAGACATGTAGCAATGAACAGTAAAGTCCAAAATATGGACTTTAGTTAATAATAATGTACTAACATTGGCTCATTCATTTTAAGAAATGTGTCACACTAATGCAATATATTAATAATAGAGAACTACAGAGGTTAGGGGGTTAATGAGAGAGTATATAGGCACTCTGTACTTCTTACTTATTTTTTCTGTTGACATAAAATAGGTCCCACCTTCAAAAAAAAGTTTTTTTTTTAAGTCACATATGACCATAAAATAAACAACACACTTCTTTGGTATGTGATTCTTACTTTGCAAATTTCTTGGAGAATAGATATTACTTTCAAAAAGTAGATGCTATAGATGAAACTATTGAGCAGCCCACTGTCTTATTTTGAAACATGCTGATATGTCCCTTATATAGTCTCTCTTAAGCTCTTGTCATAAACTGTTCTGGAGCTAGCCTATCTTCAGATGACAATAGAAAAGTAGTACTTTGAAAGGAGACTTTGAGGAAGGACTTCCTAACAGTATTTTCTGTTTAGAAAAAAGAGTGTAAATGATAAAGATGCATTGTATATATTGCCTTACATTTCAGGGCCTCTAGAGCTTGTGTCTATTTGTGCTGTTTTGCTCTTTGATTTTGGAGGGCTGGTTAACTTTTAGTTTAGATTGAACTTTCTCAAGATATCCATGAATTGCCTGTTTAAATACATAGCTGCACCCTTAACCCAGAGATTCTGATACATAGATATAAAGGCGGGGCTCAGAAATTTCTCATCCTTTTAATTAATTACATAGATGATGCTTGAGAATTGCAAGGTTGTAGGTTTAGGCCTTAGGAGATAAAAAATAGCCAATGTCTTGTTATAATATGAGTTTATCTGGAATTTCACATTCTCATTTGAATTTTTGTTAACTTGAGTTTACCTCACATCATAAAAACTGATTCCTTTATTAGGGAAGGTGGTTTATTGTGTGAGAAGCCCACATAGACCACATGTGCTTATACATTCTCTTCTAAACTATCACTAATTGACTACCTTTTATGAAAACTAAAATTACTCATACTAAGGGTAAATTCATATGTATGAGATATATCATATAAGATTATACAATAAAGTATTGATCCAAAAGTTTCAGATAAATTTAATTAGTCAAATTTTAAAGTTTTTAGAATTCTGAATCCTACTTGTCTAATTGAATTGAACATAAAAATCTATAATGTGATGGTAAGTTTTTTCTTTAAAATATAAATATTGTTGATACCAGTTGAAAATTGTTGTTACACTTTATTTCCTTCTGACTGCATTTTTTAGCCACTGTATAGATTATTATTCTCCTAACTTGTTAACTATTCAGTGGTTTTATTTTTATTTAACATTGTTAAACCAAAATTATTATACTAGCTTTGTTAAGACACAATTTTGTTTTTTTTGTTGTTGCTTATTTGGTCTGTAAGTGACATTTTTATTAATTCTATGTTCTCCATTCTATGAAAAAGAATATTTTTCTTCCTTTCACTGATTTGTTTTTGATAAGTACAATTATATCTTTTTCAGTAGTGACTAGATATTTAAAACACTTCAGGATCAAATATTCTATGAGAATTAGATACTCCTTTTAAAAATTTTTATCTTTTCTACTCATTTTAATTCTCATTATATCTTAGCAAATATTCTATTTTGTTTTCAGGTAGATTTTTAAAAGTTGAAAAATTTTCCATCTTTTCTAGATGTTTCATGGAACAATCACAAAAGAGCTAACCAGTCATGAAGAATGGAGTCACTATAATGAAAATATAATTGAAGATCAAAAAGATTTTGTTTTTGTGAAGTTCAGTGGACTTTATTTAAAATCTATGGAATATTTGCAATCTTATATCTCTCTTAAAGTATGCATTTTCTCAAATAATTTTATTACAGATATTCATCCACTTCAAAATTGTATAAAATTAATTAAACTTGACCTTCATGGAAATCAGGTAAACAATAGTCATTTAAGATGTTTGAATATAAATGAAATTTATATGTAATGAACTAATATTATTTACCCACAATATTATTTTTAGATAATCTGTTATCTAAAATATAAATATAAAATTAAAAATAAATTTTAAAAAATGTGTATTAATACAAAAATAAAAGTACAATATTTTTAAAAATAAAGCACATAAACAAAACATGATTTGGTATATTTTATTTCTTAAATTTATAGTCCAGATTAAGAATACTTCTTGACTCCAGTTCTTTATAGAAGAAAAGTATTTTTGAAAATTTAGAGTCAGCTATTACCAAGTAATTTTCATTGAATCAAATATGTATGGTCATGCGTTTAATTATAACGATAACAAAAGTTTATTACAAATACCCAGTGTATTACGTTGTTTTCCCAGAAATCATTTAGATACTTGGAAATATTTATCTTGATTATTAATCAGAAACTTGTAAGATATTAAATTTTAGAAGATGTTTAATGTTTTGGTATTTTTCCATGTTATGTTTAGAAAAGTAATATTTGAGCTAAATTTACTCATGATAATATTTCAGATCAAGAATCTACCAGATACGAAATTTTGGAGTGGATTAAAGTACCTAAAACTCCTCTATCTTCATGACAATGCATTTGCAAAGTTAAAGAATTTATGTGTATTATCTGCCTGTCCAAGCCTCATTGCTCTCACTCTGTTTGATTGTCCGGTAAGCCTTAAGAAAGGATATAGACATGTTCTTGTTAACAGTATATGGCCTCTGAAAGCACTGGATCGTCACGTGATTTCTGATGAAGAAATAATTCAGAATTGGCAACTTCCTGAAAGATTCAAAGCATATAACCAGCGACTTTTCTTCAATTTCTGCGCTGCTTTGAAAAAGGTAATTGGCTTCATTAGGATTTCATTAGAAATGATTTTTTATTTTTTAAAGAAGTAGAATTTTAGCTTCTAAATTCTACACTTGAATTTAATAAACTTTTTAGTATTTTTATTATTTTTATATAATAAATTAATGAATGTATTAGTAATGGCTTTCTATCTGAGCATTCATAGAGACTCATATGCTTTGTATATGAAGACATTGATCCTAAAATCATGAAGTTGTAGAAAAATATATTTTTGCTTTTTAATTGAAAATAGAGCTCTGATTCATTTTTGTTTGGTATATAAATGACTCCTTTGGGAAATATTTGGTATTTTTAGAATGCTATAAAGTACAATTTAAGTTATTTTTGGAAAAGCAAAAATATTCATTCTTAAACAATTAATTTGGTGACATTAACATAATCAAAGCATCATTATATGTTGATTTATAAAATATTGAAGAAATGATTAGAAAAACTTGATTCCTAGAATCTTTATGATGCAGGATATACAAAAAATAAAATGTTCTTCATACAATATTAATGTTAGAGCAAATAAATAAAAGTTCAAAAGAAGGGATTAGAAAAAAATTTGAGATACAGTAAGTAAACAAGTATGTTGCAAAGCAGTGTTTAATTCTGATGTTCATATATACAGTCATGCATCATTTAACAATGGGAGTATGTTTTGAGTAATGTTACAATGCCTATATGTTATTAGACAATTTTGTTACTGTCTAAACATCATAGGTGTACTTCTGTGAACTAAGATAGCTATGACATCATTAAGTGATATAATCTTATGATACCATGACTGCATATGTAGTCTGTCATTCATGAAATATCATTATGTGGTACATGATTGAATATGCACAGACATTTTGAGGAAGAATAGAAAATTATTTTGAACAATGATTACAAGTAAAAAGGTATGTATAAATATTAAACAGTAATTATGTATAAGTAGATACAATTCTTTAAAAATTATGAATATAGCAATGATTTTGTAATATTAGTTTTAAAAACTGGGTTTTGATAATAATTTCTTAGTCTTTTTTTTTTTTTTTTTTTTGGTACTGGGGATTGAACTCAGGGGCACTCAACCACTGAACCACCTCTCCAGCCCTATTTTGTATTTTATTTAGAAACAGGGTCTCACTGAGTTGCTTAGTGCCTTGCTGTTGCTGAGGCTGGCTTTGAACTCTCAAATGTCCTATCTCAGCTTCCCAAGCTGCTGTGATTACAGGTGTGCAACACCCCGACTGTCATAATAATTTTGTAATAATGATTAAAAATATAAAAAAGTGAGGGAGTATTTAAGTTTGGTATATTAATCTGGACTCTTAAGGAAGAATTTTATTTAGGTATTTCATTTCTGATATAATCAAAGATAGAACCATACATGACCCTATTAAAGGCAATCAAAATAAATGAGGACCACATGAAATTTATGGAAGTGATGAAAAGTTTGGTAGGTTGGATAACATATAGAAGAGTTTAGTTTTCTTAGTGAATATAATGAAGATCAATTGAAGTTATTTGAGTAAGAAAATAGAATGGTTCTCTCATAGTATGTGCTCATAAACCAATGATATTACCAAAGTCAATATTTTGGTAGCAAATTAAAGAAGATGAGGGTGGAAAACAAATGACAGCAGGGGGATTAGATATTCTGACAGGAAGGGATGTTATAGGGTTTATAGAGCAGACTACAATGTCAACTAAAATAGTATAAAAGTAAAGGACAGATGCTTTTTCTGTGAAAGCCATTATGGTAGGAACTCCCTTGTATTTTATTCCTTCACTCTTCACCAAATATGTGCTCTTTTACCTAAAATATGTAAGGAATTACTCTGTCTTGGGGATTCAGTGGTAAATAATACTGTAAAATTTCCTGCCCTTGTTTAAGGCCAATGGAAAGGAACAGGAAATAAACACCTAAGCTTAAAAGAAATAAAAGAATGGAAGTAACCATAGAATGTCAGATTATGTTAATTGCAAACAAAATGCAAAGAAAGAGCTAACACAGTATGAAAGGTCTGAAGATATGGGCTATATTAATTCAGATGGATGCGTAAGCCCTTTCTGAAAAAAAGCTTATTTATTCCTCATCATTTTCGTTGATGTGGAAAGGTATTACTTTTATTTCACAAAAGAAAATGAAGCATAGTGAGATATAAGGATCTAAGTCAGCATTAGACAGAAAAGTAAGTGATAAAGTTGAGATTTCAATGTCTTAGTTTCACATTTTTTTCGATCAATGTATCATAAATGGTATCACAATTTGATGAGACATTTTTAATAAATTGATGTGGGAGGAGAACAAGAAGAAGAAATAAGGAAATATACCTCTAAAATTTTGAAACTTTATAACTGGGACAAAAAATAATTTAGTGGATTGGACAGCATTTTCAAAGTTATAGTAGAAAGATGAGTTTGTTCTAGGTTTTTTTTTTTTTTGTTGTGTGTGTGTGTGTGTGAAGATATATATACTAGGTATTAGCAAAAACGAAGAACTAAAATTTAGAAATAGTGTTCTGGGCTTGGTGTATGTCCAGAGGTGTAAGTCCAGTAGTCATTTGCTTGAAGGCAAAGTTGAAACCAAGCTCTTTCAGGAAAATATAGGGATCAATGAAGACTGAGAACTAAAGGCAAGCCCTCAGGCTCAATTTGTGTATAGAAAGCAGAGGAACCAATGAGAATAAAAGGGAGTAAAAGGAGAGATATGGGTATTATTATCACTCAAGCTATGGGGAAAAAAGTGGTTAAAAACTGAAGAAAGTTTCTAAAGGGTCAAAGAAATTTAGCACTGAAAGTAATGTATGTTAATAGTGAAGAGTTTTTTTTTTTTAATCATTGGAATTTCAGTAGTTTTCGGATGCAAGTATGAAATTGTAATGAGTAACTGATTGCCAATTATAAAATATTTTCTCTAAAAATTTTGGGCAAAGGAAATATAAAGCCTTAATTGCAGGAAATAAAATAAATAGAAGATGTTTTTTAAAAATGAGGTGATACTAAGATCAACTTATATTTAATCTGCTGAAAGTATTTTAAGAAGATAAAGAGTGAAAATTTTATAATGAGGGGAAAAATGAAGAAAACCACTACTGAAAAAGTATGAATGCAAAACAACACATACACAACAAACCTTAAAGTGCTGTCAGAATTTTTTTGAGTTATAGAGATTTAAAAAACTATTTTAATAACATTTTGTTACTTTATGAATCAGTTTGTTGATTGTGCTATAACCAATGTTCTTTTGGTTATTCTTTGATAATTGAAAAATTTATAGCACTATTCATAAATTTTGAGAAGAAACAAATGTAAATATATTAGGATAGATATTTATTCAGCAATATTTTAAATATATATCTTAAAAGATTTTATTGTACTTATTAATGAACATACAATATTATGAAAACTGAAAATAATCATCCTATAAGTGTTCACATAATGGTTTTTTTTAGTAAAGTTTGAATGTAGAAATTCAAGAAGAATGTTTATTTTGAAAGAAACCAATTTAGTAATGTAATTATTGCTTATACCTTATAAAACATTAAAAACTATCGAGAAGGGTCTTGTTTATCCCTAATTGTGAGGTAAAATGATTTTTTGTCCTTTTTTTGTGGGTATAGTTGGATAAAACTTTTGTTTTAAAGATAAGAATATAGATGATTATATGAAATAAAAGTAATTTTAGAAATTTGAAGTGCTTATTTATCTAAAAATTTACAATAAAGAAATATATATTTATATATTAATCTATATAATTTTAAAAAAATATGGAGTGATCTGGGAAATACCCAATTTCATCAATTGGGATCACATTTTGTCTGCATGTAATAAAAGAACAACTAATCAAGGATTATATTTTGAATCATAATATGTTCAAGGATTATATTTTTAATCATATAATATGTATTTCAAAGACAGGCAGTCCTCTGTGTAGTTAATTGTTTAAGTAATCATAAAGAAACATAGCTTAGTCTATCCTTCTCCTCTGCTATCTTAGCTAGTGGACATTTACTCTGATGGGCAAGAGATTCTTCACATCCTGCCTGGCATGTGGCAGAAAGAAGGGGAAGGGTGAGATCAAAAAGCACATATCAGCCAAGTTTGTCATTTTGTATCAGGGAAACAATAACTCCTATGTGTTTTTCTGATAAACTTCCACTACTGAAAGTGACTCTCATGGCTACAACTTGATTGAAGGGAATTTGTTACAATGATTATTTTTAAATACAAACATTCACTTTTAAAAAAACTGATATTCTATTAATGAGAAAATAAAAGATAATAGACTCTTGGAAGGCAGCTAACAATTCCCATAATATACAGAAATAGAAATTTATAGTGATTTTTAGGAATGGTGATTTAATGTAGAATGGTAATTTAAGCAGTTGGTATTCATTTGCTTTTATTTTCAATGAAAATATCAACATAAAGATGCATATGTATGAAGTTACAAAATAAATATTAAATTCCAATTCATAATTCACTTTTTACAGTGAGATATTAAATAATATTTTTAAAATTTTAAATGTTTTTAATTTCTAAAAAATTAGTGAAAATCAAAAAATATTCTGTATGAAAATGTGTCAAAAGTAAGACTATTTTTACAAAATTACATCTTTACATCTATGGATGTAACCTGAATTACCAAAACGTAAATGAATTATAAATTTTATAAATCAACGTAAAAGCCTTAATCAAGATGATTATTAACAAGGTTGAGTTTGAAAACAAAAGTAATATATAAACGATAAATGTAAAATTCTATAGAACAAAACAAAGGACTTAATAGTGGTCTCAAACCATGTAGAATTTAACACACAAAATACGAGGTTGCATAAAGAGGATCTCTTTCAACTGACATAAAAAGAATAACAGTCACAATAAAGCTATTTTCATTCTGAGTAATGTATAAAATAGAATTATGCAAATACATATATATATATATATATAATAAATACATATATCATAAATGACAATAGAGGGAGTACATAATACTTTA